TTACTCTATATTGCATGATCAACCAAACTTTACAACACGCACATTACATGTTGGCATAGTAACAAATAAATATTTTCTCAGTGTTTTGCCTGTTGTCAATAATAGAAAAAGACGTTCTGTAGAAAAAATACACTTAACTGAAAATTGATTTCTGTAATTTTCAGTATTTGTTCAGGCATATTTAAATTAGTTAAAAGCATGTTTCACTTAACAAATCTTTGGGCGTCTTACATGACTCAATAAAAGGTTAGGTTTTTTTTTTATTCAATTTAATTTTTTTTCATAAATAAGCTTCTTGATTATATCACCAATTATCACTACAAATGTAAATGCAAACTTAAGTAATTTCTTTTGAATACATTCAAATGCACATGTGCTTCTTATATTTTGACTTGCAAATGATATAGTTGAAATTTATTTACTATGACAATTGTTGGTAAAAACTATAAGATACCAGACCAAGATATGATCACTTCAGAATACCATAAGATATCAGTGTAAACATGGACAATAATCTGTTTATTAACAATTTCATTTAATAATTTTAGATGTACATGCCAGGTTTATAGTAATTTATAGGCCAATAAATGGACATGGGTGCTGATGAAATTCTTCTGTGTAAAAAAACATTGATCTTCAATAAAATGTAATAATTCATGGATTACTTACCTTGTAGTAAAAATAAATCTCTTTTTAATAGGAACAGACTTCTCAGTGAAAGAAATATTTCCTTTTTGCAAAAGATTTTGTGGTCTACTTCCAACAACTTCCAAATTGATCATTTTAATGCCAGTAGAATAAAAAGTTATCAAAACAAGAAAAAGCAAAAAGTTAAGTCACATAGTTTTGCTTTGCACATTGTATCTGGTGTTATATATACTTCACATTTCAAAAGCAGCCTTCACTTCACTTAAAATCCAACATATTTAATACAGCATAAAATTTATAAAGTCTTAAACTTTGTACACTTAATATGTTTGTGTTCAGTCTTTGCTTTACACAAAGCCAAAAAAAAATTAATTTAAGAATGTTTTGCACATCATTGCATCTCAAAAGTCAGCCTCAAAAAGGAAGTGAAAGATAAAATCCAACATTTATACAGCACCTATATTTAACTCTCTTCAACAAGTACTTCAAACACAAGTAATAATTTAAAACTTTCGTAATCTCTTATCATATTATTTATATCACATTTAAAAAATTAAAAATTGTTTTTAAAACAGTTCAAAAGTTAAATAGATAATCTCGAGAGATCAAACGTTTTTTTTTTAATCTTTTATCTCAAATTACTCGATTTCTTTTTAATATGATGTTATATTCGGTTGTGTTGTTTTTAGTTTTGTAATTCACACATAGATCTGGGTGTAGGAAAATAAATTTCAATTGTGTGGTGAATGATAAGGCATTCTTTGTGTAATCTGGAAAGCTGATTGCAATTTTAAATATTTTAACACTATATTTGACTTTTATTTTTTAATATGGACTTATTGCATGTATTATTGAAAACCTTAAAATTAGATATATTGTAATAATTTAACCTCATGGTAGTCTAAGTGTAAATTTTACTTAGATCAGGGTGTGATTTGAACACATTTACAAACATTACATATTTAATAATAATTATGATAAATACATCAAAAATATTTTATCTGTATTCAAAGATCACATTTCAATTCTAAATAATCGGAAATTGTTTTCACTTATCAAGGCTTATCATAGTCTATTAAAAATCTTCAATACTTTAATTTCAAATACAACCATATCTACATAACAACATACACTTGTCAATACTTTTATGATAAAGTTATAGTTTAATTTAATATGGAGAGTTTATCATTTATATTAAAATCACTACTGTATTAGTCTAGAATATCACAGTCAATATTGACTTTTCAAATCCATTCAAATTCTTAATCCTGGTATGAATTAGACAACATTAATTTCAAACTAATAACAAAGGCAGACGACATGATAAATGTTTGTCATGTTGTTCAAATCTTCCATTATCCTTAAAACTTTAAATCTGTTATTAATGATATTCTGATTCAAACCAGGATATTTGTCAGGGCAAATATTGGTCTTAAAAGACTCATTACAATCTCCATATGATTTCAAAGTGTATGATTATGAGTTTTAACATTTTCTACATGGCACGGCTCTAATTATTATAATAACTCACTTCACATAAAATTTAAAAAAAACATATATAACAATTAGAATAGATAACTCTTCAATCAACCATAAATTTTTAACAAATGCAATAAACTTGCAATATACACACATTGTAAAACAAAAAACTTATACGAATGTCTCATAATAAAGTAGAGAAACTAAGATATTCAGAGTAAGAAATAGAGATATAAGCTGACAGACAGTAGTAAACTAATAATGAATATTGTGATTTAATTATTTGGGATTAAAATGATAATAATAATACATAGTGAGGTCAGTGTTTGTTTAACAGATAATACTATTGTTTGATATCTATATATATTAAAGAATGCTACCCTGTCTTATTTCAACAATGATTTTATGAATGGTACCAACAATATACAATACAATATAAGACAAATGAATTCAAGACTTCAAGTATTTTCTCTAAGTATTTTACATCCATTTCTTTGAAACACTGAAAATGCAACTCTGGCTGGTCATTGATCAGAACAATTAATATGTCAATGTACGGATTAGGAAATTCATGATTGAATATCTTTTCGTTTTGTTTTCACAATACGTCTGGTAAATGTGCCAAATTGAGAACTTTTACAAATTTACAAATATGAGCTAGTCCCTAGTCCAGTTCTATTCTGCTTTACACACAGGTGAGTTGAAATGCATGTCAAGGCAGTTTGAATTAAAAGAGAAATACAATACCAGCTACAGTATTCTGATATTACTATAATTACTAGGTTCAGTTGTTACCCTACACTGTAGGGCCTACAGTCTATTGTTAGTTTTAGTGTGAAATTTTAATTTATTACACAGTTTGAATGATCTCTATTGTCAATTATTTTACACCTCAATGCATTTCTAAGATAAGATATCCCAAGATTAACTGGCATAATTCAAACTTTTCTTGTTCTAAACAAGTACGCATTGTTAATTCTATGATACAATGACTGCATTATCTGATTACTAGGTTGAAACAGTTATGAAATTGTAAATATACACATCACTTGAGGGGAGATAACTGCAATAATATCCAAGAAAACTAAATCTATCTGGTTCATTTATGGGGTCTTTTGCAACATATTATGAATGTGGAATTAAAGTTATAACTAGGCTTTACAGTGCTCTCATTCTACCACAACAGTCATTAGTATTTTCACTGTTAAAATAGTGCTCAATACATCAAAAATAGAAACAGAACATGAAACATGTTGATACTCAGAGTAGATGCTTATGGAATTAATGTAAGCTTAAATTCAGATAGGTCTATTGTAATGAAAAGAAGTAAACTTGACAGTGACCATGTGATACTAAGTAAAACATATAATATAAATTTTGAGGCAGTGATTCAAAAATCGTATTTAATCATATAGTCATATAAAGACCATGTTTCCAATGATTGATAAATATCTACTTACACTGACTTGATTTCCTCTAGAGGGATATTACTTCGAGAATATCGACTTCCACTTGTCATGGTTTTACACCGGATCACAAAAATACCCATCAATAAAAATAGTAGCCATAATTGGTTTTAGAAACAAAAAATTATACTCAATTTACTTCAGTTTCATTTCAAAACTGAAATATAATTAAAAAATACATTTCAAAATTAAATAAAAAAATATTTTGTTTTAAAACGGTTAGTTGCAAAGCATTGACTTTCAATGTTTGATTTCACAAGTGTTAAAATCATAGGGTTCAATTTAAGCAGTTTGTGTGTCAAAATGTGTTTCTAAATATTCCTGTGATTAGCCAAAAATAAAATTATCTAAAAATCTTTAAACAGTAACTCTCATATAGGATGCCGTTTCAGAACCAGAACCTGTCAGAGACAGAGGCCTCTCGTCTAACTTGAGTAACGGCTAAGAGTTTGATCAAAATTAAAGATCTGAAGCAAAAGTCTGGTTCTGAAACGGAATCCTATAAATATAACTGTGTAAAATTTCATACAGGTATTACTTCAAATTTCGGGTCCCCTATCTTTCCTAGAACCGAGGCCAAGGACATGCCTAGGCTGAGCATTTGCAGATAGTAGTGATGTAAGGAATGTTAAAAATAGAATATTTTAAGTGGATACAGCAAGAAGGGGAAGTGGCTGCAAATATATAGTAAAAGTAAATGGACATTCAATAATGATACTTCAATGAAATTAGTTCGATTGACGAGGATTGGTTTGGGTTTTGAGTTTTTACTGTCAAAATTTCAGAAATTTACAGCTTTATCCTTGAACATATAGAGCCCCCAGGACTCACTTAACACCACACCTTTTTTGACAAGATCTGTGTCGATTTTCACAAATCATACTAAAAAATTAAGCAATTGTAGCGTTAATTACCAAAATAATTGTCATTTTTGATTAATCTTTCAATAAGATCAATGGAAACCAACATAAACAACATGGACGACTATTTACATCCCACAATGCAACATTTTCTCATTCTGCGCATGATCAATGACCATCGCTCATGAGAATGACAAAAAATAAATTTACTTGGTTACCAAAAGAAATTTTAGAAATTAATTATTTAAATTTTTTTTCGAGATTCTATTTGGAATATGATTGAAGAAATTCAATTTCAATATCGTTTATGAAGAGTAATGCTTACTCTACCAGCGCACCTGTCTCATAAACGCACGTGCGTTAAAGTAACAGAAAGTATTAGGCTAGTATCTGACCTGGTTTTTAACCAATCAAATCACAGAATTTTTAATGCTCGATGTTATTTAGTCTCGGTTACGGTATACTCTTGTTAATCCTTTATTTACAATTATGTCTGGATAATCACAACAGTAAATCGGATTTACTGATTATTTTATTTCCGGGTCATAAAGTTGACCTTTAATATTATTTTCAACATGGATAAGGTTCGCGCCACATAAAAAAAGAATTATTTTATTTGAACCAAAAGTAATGAAGAGGGTTTTCAACAGGGAAAACTTTTGCTGGTCTTTTCTCGTTTGGACCTGCAGAATATGGGGCATACTAACTGCACTAGGTAAGGAAAACACAATGTAAATAAATAGACCCAGTAGATCACGCCATTTCTTCTCCTTGGGCATGTTTACCTTCAGTTTGGCAACTGTCCAAATGGCGGCATGTTTGATCTTTGAAGCGTAGAGATAAAAATCAATAACCGATCGCTGTTTTTACTGATAAAATCAATATGTAGCTTACTAATTAAATCAAGAAGAAAAGAAAAACGTTAGGTTAGGTTAGTAAATACGATTTACAAAAATTTGTATTTTAGAAACTTCATTTTCAAATGCATTGATATTGGATCAAAAAAGGTTTTTGAATGTTGGCCATTATTTTTATGAGAAATGAAATAGCGGCTTTAAAATAAGGTCTTGGAATGTATTCAAAATTTTTTTTTACAGAGGACAAATTTCAGCTAAAATTTAGGACTTTTTTTGGTTGAAATCCCATGACAGAAAAGTGTTTCTCTTCAATGCAAACTTGCAAAATAATATACAGTCAAGTAACCTAATTTCGTGCTAACCTATTTTTCGTGCTTCTCCGGAAATGATTAATAATTCACGTGCACGACCTCGGATGACCCTTGCCTTTGCATGGTATGATAAACATGGGTTATCTTTACAACATCAAATTTATCATGTCTAACATACAAAATGGTAAACAGAGTCAGTGACAAACTAGCAGATTCCGTGTCAGCAGAAAAATTCTATGGAACACAATGTGTGCCATATTCTTATGTTGTTTCAATGACTTTTAGCAATAAATCACGCACAAATTACGTTTTATTTATCTTATTTTGTCAGTCACTCTATTTTTTGAAATCATTGTTCTTTGAAACATAGTTATAATGAAATATTATTAAAGATTAATAGAAAATTAATTAGAAAAGTTAATTATACCACTGAGTATCCATACAGCATGTTTTTCTCGACTTATTTATAAATCAGCCATTGTACACGAAAATAGGTTTTTCAGCCGTTGTCGATTTGGTTACTCATGAATTATGGTCAAGGTGAGGGATTCATTAAGAAAATCGCAACAAACCAATTTTAACTCTTTTAAAGAATATCTGAGGACACATCTAAGACATACACAAATTTTTCTGTTTTTTAATTTTGATGAAATTTGGTGTTGTATCCTTATGTGCACAATTATAAGAATAAGAATCTAAGACTAACAGTACTTTTTTGAGGCTGACATTCCAGCTCAATTATAAAATGTAGAAAAAATTCAAAAAACTATTATTTGTCTAGCCTAGTCTTATTCACTATCTACAACAATATTATGTGCTATTTAGGCATGTCAATTGCATTTTTTGTCTTAATCAACATACATTAGATGGTACAGTAGATCTTTATAGAGGACCTTAAAGCTTGGATGATTTTTCATTTGAAATTAACTAACATTCTTTTTCAGAAATTTCCCATAAAAATTAAAATTTTCTTCTAGATTTTTTCATTAGTCATTTTCTCATAGAACATTGTTAATATTTCCATTATAATTTGATCAGACAGTTTTTCTTTAAGACTAATTTTACAATTTATTTTATGAGGGGGGAATACAACTGCAAGTGCCAGACTATATCGTCCTGGAATACAGAAGTTTACTTGCCACTAAATTGTCAGTGATATATTTGTCAAAATCATGTTAGGATCAGGCTTGATAGTTTCCCCCATGAAAAGGTATTGATGACTGTCCAAATTCTGCACTGACCTGTCTTTATTGATTTTACATTACAGGGTTGTGGGGTAGTGGATCAGAAGCTGTACATTTTAAACATAATTTAGGAATTTATTTGTTGTAAGTTGTCTATTATTTCATCTATTTCTTGGTATATGTTGGTAAGCTGTATTTTTTTCAGTCAGTCAATGTTGCAGCTGATAAAAAGATTGCCAAACTAAAATATTGATGAAACAATCATAAAGGAACAGTTAGCCAACTGCTTGTCCAATTGTACCTTAGTCTCAGAAAAAGGTTTTTTTTTTTGGCTAAGTTAATATTTGTAATTGTATTCATTTCAGAATTATTGCCATTATTGTTAGTGTTTTAGAGTTATTGTTTATAGGTGAATATTGTACAGAATTTGCTGTGTAAGTATTGTTTCTTAGAGAAAATAATTCAAGAAATTGTGATACAATTGCAGTGCGAAACCATTGATTGCAAGTCTCACTTTCAAAAAAGGAGTCATCTTAGGCACTCCCAAATCGAAAATCTAACATGAATGCTCATAGATAAAGAGAACTATAATATTTGGGAGAATGGCAGTTTTCGTATATATAAAATTTTAGATGTGTTTTCTTAATTTTTTACTTTGTGTAACTGATTTTGTTTGCAGAGAAGATTCTATATGTATAAAGTTTTATGAAAAGTTAAGCTTGTTAGATGATTGGAAGAAAGGAATATTTTATTGTTTGTTTGCTGTTCCATGTTTTTTAGATCCTTCAAAAGTCATATTAGGAGTTATATCAGGTATTGTTTTATTTCAATATAAAAACTATAAAACTTGACTTGAAATTTAAGCTAGTTGGCATTGCTGTTTTTCTCTGCACATTTATAGAATTGTTCTTACAAATTGTAAGAGCTAGAACTTCATTTCATGGATACCAAAAGGTATGGTTTGATAAAATATAACATCCCAACTCTTCTCAGGCATAAAAAATGTCTAATGCCAGTCTGTCTGCTGTCACCAAGATATGGTTTTTATACGCACACATGAACATGTGAGGCTTTACATGATAAAATTTCCATTTGTTCCTCCAACATGTGTCGTGTGTCTAAAAACACTTCCTCAGGGAGTCTAAAATCAACACAATTAAAAAAAAGTAAATGACTGTTACAACAATGACATCATTGCGTTTGTATGGATTATTCCGCACCGTACCTCGTCTATTCGTGGCTTTATAAATATCTTTCAAATAGTAAAATTCATATTTGATTCTCTAAAGCTAATGACTTTTCTTATTTCTTAATACTAGTAGTGAGCGTATGTTACCTTGCCTGGCAAGCTATCTTTGTTATTTTCCAGGAGTGATGTTAGCTTTTTGTGGTATTTTATATATGTTTAAAACATTTAAAACACGACGAGAAGAGAAACTCAAAGATGGTGAAGACAAGGCAACTTATGACAGGTAATAGTTGCTTAAATCTTTGACCTATTTTTCTTTGAAACCACGTTACGTAAGAATTGCTAGCTTGGTTGTGTGGCTAGCCGGACTAATACAAGAAACTACAATTGATACTACTACAGCAGATCTTACTTGGTTTTTTTTTTTTGAGGTTAAATATATAAGTTAGCAAACAACATAGCCAATCAATATCAGTAACCTCGCAGATCTCAGTCATCCAGAATAGAAACAGAAATAAGGTCTGTATGCTAACAACAAGCCTTAGATCTGTTTAAATGATGTTGATTTTATTTGATAGATTTGAAGAAATCCATGATGACATTGAAGATAGTATTGTCAATCCAACAGCCACATTAAATCTCCCTGGTATAACAGAGATGCCTGAAGACACCTATGAATTGTGAAAATTGTCTCCCTTCAGCAAAAAAAAAAAACAGTCAATCCCATTTAGTGATTTTGTAGAAGGAAGGTTCAATCTCAGCTTTAGCATCATGGCTTTTGCTATTCTGAATCTCAATGAACTGATGAGAGTTGTATAAAAATACTTGCTTAACTTTTCATGGTAACAAAATTTGATCTCAAGTTTAAAATTTTTGATTTGAAAATGAAGAAAGCATTTGCCATTACAGGTACATGCCTTTGAAATAGACAATACATGTACATTATGTACACGAAGTTTAAATGAAGAAAATGTTAAACTATGAAAATAACTTGTTTAATAATTAATTGCTATATCTCTCATCTATATCTCTTCATATTTTGTGTATTTTTTAACAGCTTAATAGAATCTCTTAAGAGGCATTATGGTACAACTCCAATGATGAATCTTTGGATATTTGGGTTAAATATTTGTGGATAATGTATATGCGATTGGAAAATACTCGCTTTTGAACAAATAACAGTTTTATGCTAAAACATATTGAGAATACCATCAAAGTCCTAACAGGGGTTGTTTTTGTTATTAACGGATCAGTTTTGTACTCCTGAGCATTTTCAAGATGTAGGTGAGAGGATTGTGAATATAATAATGTGTTGTTAATATATATTCTAGAAGCTAGTCAAAATCTTCAACCTGCCAAAAAATAGTTAAAAACAGACATGACTTGAAAACTAAACTGCTGCAGATTTATAGAACTTGGCTCTCATTGTTCAATCAAATATTTCCATGCCAAAAATGTTTTTATGTATCTGACTTTGCCTTAAATTGAATATAGCATTCTCATTTACAGTGCCTTACATATAAATTTTATCTAATTAATTAAGATTCTGTGTCTTTTTAAAGATGGTTTTGTTTATGGAACAACTTTACAGTGTGCCTTAACAACTAAAACTTTGTCATGTGTCAAACATTGCCAAAAAATCGTTTTGGTCTCTGTTTATGGTAATCTCAATTTTCAATATTGAAATCATGAAAAATATTTATAACCAAATTGATGTGTTTAATGTGCCTACAACTGCATGCATTTATTAACATGCATCATATTTTTTACTTTGTTTGCTTTGAAAGTGCTTTGGTTGTGTTTTTATAAAGTATATATAATTATTTATTGTATTCTATTTATTATCAACTATATTCATGTCTTTTTTTGTTTTATTTTGTTGAAGAATATGAAGTGAAAGCCTACCAAGTAGGGATTTCTTTAGCACTGAAACTAAGTCAAAGTTTTTATCTTACGATATTAGATCTCTCAAAGATCCATGTAATTGTTTGAAACCATGGTTTATTGTTAAATTACTTGCTGGCTACATAGTGGTCAAGAAAATAGATGAATTTGTTAGAAATGAAATGCTTGAATAATGATTGAGATTGAATTAAATATTTTTAAGTATTTTTAAGTATTATTTTCTCATAGTACCACATCTAATTTAATTCAATAATTCAGTTATTAGTAGGACTGCAACGATTCACTGATGAATCAATGAACCGTGATTCTTTCCTCCTTATCGATGCATTGAGTTGGATAAAAATAATCGCGATGTATCAGTAAGATTAATTCTTAGCCCCCTTTAATAACAAATGGCACAGAATCCTTATGTGTAAAGGAAATTGTGTCATGATTTTCTCATCAAAATTTGCAAAAATTCATTTCTCACTTTAGAGATTGAGATTCTTTTATCATAATTCCTTACTTCTAAATGTTCTCAAGTGCTTAATAGTGACAATATTCTTATTAATTTTACAAATTTCTACTATTTTCCCTCCTTCCTTCTAATAAATGAATAATTATCGCAATAAATCGTTGGATGAGTATGGTATAGTGTATCAAATCACAACTTCAAGAATTGTTGCAGCCCTAGTTATTAGTGATATATTATATCCATTCATTCCATAAGTACATATCAATTCCTGCCACCCCTTTGTCTTGGGTATACCAAGATGCATGCTAGAAAAAAATTTAAAATGGTCACGTGTGAAGTGGAACCCATGAGATTTTCTTTCATAGATTTTATTACTACTTATTTATTTACTTATTATTATTTTTGTTGACTTTCAATCTTCTGATTGATATTTCTGATTTTTATCTTAAGTGAATTGCCAAAAATGTACCTTATTACTTCTTTTTTTTTGAATAAATCAAAGTTTATTTTCATGACAATGCATTACGAATATCCTTAAAAAAGTGCCTGATTATTAAACTTGATATCCTGCTGTTTTTACTGTTTATTGTTGTTAGCAATCTCAAAAACCTATAAAATATATATTTTTGTGGAATAAATCTTTAAGAAATTGTTTGTGTGTATTTGACATGGCAAAATAGGAAAGAATTAGTAAATGAATCTGATTGCTAAGCTAGTTGTGTGATAGCCTCTTTATCTAACATCCTTGGGGGGTTACGTCCATATTTGTTTCTTGTAGGCACGATAGAGACTACAGTTTTTATCCGATCTTCATGAAACTTGGTATGCATGCATGTATTGATGAGATCTCGGACAAGTTCGGAATTGGTAATAATCGAGTGAACGTTTTCAGAGTTATTGCCCTTGACTTAGTAAAAACGTGTCAAATTGGGCTTGTAGGCACGATAGAGACTACAGTTTTTATCCAATCTTGATGAAACTAGGTATTCATATAATATATTGATGAGATCTCAATCAAGTTAGAAATTGGTAATATTCGGATGACAAACAGTTTCAGAGTTATTGCCCTTGGGTGCACTGTGATGAGACATTATTCATGTGTGAATTTGATGATAACTTGATGAACTGTTTCAGGGTTTTGCCTTGACTTATAGATGATTTTAAGATTATTTGAAAATTCATTATTAAGCCACTATAGATTTTGTTGTCATTTCTGACAGCTGGTAGTGGGCGTATGTTACCTTGCCTGGCAAGCTATCTTTCCATTGTACTCCGTTTTTGAGAATTTTCTACAAAATTTGACATAACGTTTGGTATTAAATACTCAACGCATTGCCGGATATTTTACTGTGTCCTCATGCACAAGACACATCGTGTCCAAACCACAATTATTATCGTGTTCACTTTAATATTTGCTGTTATACTGTTCCAATTACAGGAGTGTTTCCCTTTAATGTGATTTGTCGTTATCACTAGACATAAATTTAGAGTAAAAACTATTGCATCAGCCTCTATATATAGGCTAATCGAAACTACTTTAATCTACATCAAAACTTTAATGGCCAGTTTTAATTAGACTTTGTGTCACTTTTTAAAGTAAAACTCTATGCAGTCAGACAATTATTTATCATCTATTGGTTGACCATGATGAGTTGAGGGCAGTAGAAACATACTTGCAATTATCTCATCGTACGATTGGGTAACTGGAATTAGCTTAGTAATGTTTTAAAACTAGGTTAAAATTTTGCTAAGCTACAAATTGGCAATTAGTTTCATCTGTTCTTTGCTTCTATAATGTCTTCCGAAAAATAATTTAATTTCGTGATTATCGGATTAGAATATGTATTTCCAAACTTGTTTTATCATATTGAAATTTCATGTGTCCGTTATACCTCATCTGAAAGTTTAAACTTAAAAAAATCCTTTCGTTAAATTTTAGAAAGCCACAGACCAGAGAGGTTTCGGCGACGTATGTTTTTTGGTTAGGGTAAGTGATCTCACTCAAAAGGACTGGCATGGTATTTGCAAAATTTCATAAAAATATGATGAATGAATGTACTGTAGCCTATAGGCCTATCCTAAGTTGACGGATATGTATAAATCATTGGTTTCTCATACAACTAAATTTGTTGGAAAAGCAATCTAGGCCTACGAATTTAAGCAAAATAAACCCAGTTATAGAGAAATATGTCTCCAACTCAATCTTGTGGTTTGAACTAAAATTATCGAGCTTTTAGTGCAGCCAAACACCAAAACTAGCTATAGATAGGCCTGCCTGCCTACCCATCCCTCACTTCAATGGCTTTGATGTTATAGGTCAATGTGTAAAATAGAAACTTTGTGGAAAAAAGTTTTGTGCTCGTTATGGTGACATAATAATAATTTTGGAAATTATAGAGTTAGACTTTAGAGAGGCACATAATCAATAGACTTGTTAGTATGATAACGCTATGTGGGCCTATAATTCTAACGAAAGGAAAATAATTTTATAAGAAGTTAACTAGCTCTACATTCCCCAAGGCCTAAAGTAAAAGAAAATATGTGTTAATCTTTCACGATCTATAAAACTTGAATCAAGTTAATAACGTTAACACTATTTTGTGAAAATTGTAAGGTGTTTGACTTTGATAAGACCTCTGTAATGAATAGAAACTATACAATAATATACTATAGTTATAGTAGGGCCTAGTAAAAATAACGTAGACTACACAGTCTACTAACTCGACAAATGAAGGAAGAAAATGCCCATATACTCAATGACTATTTTAGGCCTTTGCAGGTTATATATATAACATTTAGTAGCCTAGACCTCGTAGGCCTACCCCTCAGAGGTTTCTAGGCGTTTACTACAGTAGGCAAGGTACCTTGCCGTGAACATGGTGGTTGTACAACTATGGTATTGATTATATTTATAGTTATCTTGTGTTTTGATAGATCAAATAGTAATACAGAAAAAATTTCAATTTTTTTGAATTGTTTAAGATAATTTTTATCAAAGTATGGTAGGCCTACAGGATGTGGGTTAGCCTCCACACACCATCATCCGAGCTTTATTTTTTACTCCGGTAAATTAACGTTTATCGGACAAAGCAGTTTTAATGTTATTTAATGGAGATAATCAATTTGTGAATTGACAAGGAGGCATGACATGGGCAGAGGGATAAGCGGCATGATATTACAATTACATTCTCATACGTCGTCAGAGCCAAAGGACAAAAAAGTCGGTCAACTCAGGTGTGATGATGCAATGTTACCTATACATTGTTTACTTCAATATAACATTATCCCAGACGTTGGGCGTTAACCAAATGCATTTTGATTTGATAATAAGATGTTTCTACACTCGATGACCCCATCTAAACCAATTTGTATCCGCATTTATTCATTTCAAGCAGATAATATAGATCCAGTGAGTATGCCGTCAAACACGGGCATCCATCTACTTTTATTTACAGCATTGTTTGATTGGTTCAATAAAATCACGTGATATACTCGACCTAATTTCAAACAGAGATCAAGTTGAAGGTCATATTCTAACCAATCAGAAACCTCAAATTATCTTCATCCGGTTTTCCATGGTACGATGTCGTCATAGGCTCTAGAAATTTCACATTGTTCACAGCTGAGACGGAAAAATCTCGGAAAAGTCGCTAAACTTCATTCACAAGTGACTTCACGCGTATTTTTCGTGATCAGGTTTCGCCAAGGTTTATTTCCAACCAGCAAAATGCTGCGAGTTGCAACGAGGGAGATTCCAGCCTCCTTCCAAAAGGTTGGTAATCTTGGAATGCTGAGTCCATCAATGTCAGTGGTCAATTCGGACAACTCAAATTCAGTGCAGTCAAGGAATCTCACTACAGGTCAAGGAGGTAAAGGTTTCTTTCAAATGGTGGAATTGTTTTTCGACAAGGCTGCAGCTCATATTGAAGATAGTTTACTTAGAGAGGTGAAAGGCAAGGGTTCATTGGAAGAAAAGAAAAAGAAGGTCAAAGGAATATTGAAAATTATCAAGCCCAACAATCACATCTTGGCACTGAATTTCCCTATCAAAAGAGATAATGGCGATTATGAATTGATTGAAGCATACAGAGCTCAACATAGTCAACATCGAACACCATGCAAAGGAGGTAAAGTACTTTTAAATAATTACTTGGAAATGGGGTTAAAAATGTTGGGAAGATGCCAATGCCATTCATTGAACCATGTGTGGTAGATCTAGGCCTACTCTAATCATGACTCTATTAAACTACTTCAATTTTAGACTTAACAGGCTTTTTTTTTTTTTGATGAGTTTTGTGGTCTCGATTGTGAAATTCATAATTCTTCATGCCAACAGTAGAGGAAGATGCTGATTACTTTTCATGTGAAAAATCCAAGCGTTAAGTCACAATCTCTAAAATAATTCGGTTATGGAACACAAGTATTATAAATCTTGTTTATTTTGAATTTTTTACTGTTCTGGAAAATTGCGATTATGATGTCTCAGTTTTGATTGGACCAATTGAACCAATCAGCTTTAACTACACATATTTCTGACCGGAAGATGCGATAGAATTTAAAAGTAGTGATCAACTTCATTATTTTCATTTCTCATTATTGTGATTTTGTGAATTTTGCTATGATTATTATCCATAATTTACATGTAACAGCCGGAGGAGTGCACAAGCTAGATTAAATTTTATATTTCTTGTCGAAAATTCGTCGCCGCTTGCAAACAAAACCTTCTGCGCATGTCCATAGTCCGCCAAGAAACCATTCAATAGAAAAAACACCGGCCTGGTATCAATTTTAATGGGAAACTTCAAATTGGATGTTTTAAACGATTCCTCAGTGGCCAGGTAAATTTATAGAAATTTTAAATGGTTTAGATACAGTTTCAGAATTTAATTCCTCACGTTAAGAATAAACTGTAAGCTTACTGATTACTGATATTATGTTAATCCATAATAATAATTGATAAAGATTAAAAAGAGGTGGAAACCACTGAGGGAAAACCACAGTTGTAAAAGGGGGGAAACCACTACATGCCACTATATCTATGTGATCACTTGAAACCTTGTTTATGCCACATTTGGTCATTTTGACTTTTTGGTACCATTCGAAAACTCGTAAAAGTGCGGATCTTGTGATCAAAACCTCTTATTTGATTGTTAATAACCCCATAACCACTAATTGAAAAACACGTATATAAACAATCAGATTAAAACTTTGTAAAATATTATATTGTACGAGGTTCAAAACCTTGTATACTGTACTATTATAAGAGTAATTAGTTGAATAGGTCGGAGTACTCCAATTGTTATATGAGGTTTAAATTCTCAAAGAATGAAAACCACGTATAAACTGTGTGTCGAAAGATTAATTTCAATTCTTCTCCTTTTTCAATTTGGCTTTGATTTTATTTTATGTTCATATAATTATCTAAAATAACATATCAGTTATTTTTTCAAGGAAAACTTATTTTCAACAATTTCTTATTAAAACTAAATTTAAAAGCAGGAAATGACTCGAAATTTAATACTCCTTGAGAAGAGATTATTCATTGTTGCTCATATCAAATTCAGACTTTTTGAGATATTTTTCTTAGAAGAACATTAAAAGGTCATAAAATCTTAACAGGATAGGCCTAATGCAAATAAAGATTAAGGATGTTGAAGCCTATATTATATGATATACGTATCTTAATTGGCTAATTGTAAATTAGTATTGCCATGATGAGCAAATTTTAAGCCTTCGTCAAAACTGAATTCAAGTAAGGAAACGCGTCATAGGTCAGGACATAGATTAAGCAAATTTCGTGCAAAGGTATTTTGGTTTCCGATTGCCAATTTCAGAGAAGTTTTGGTTACCGATGGTGAATGAAAATAAATATTTTGAACAAATTGTATAGCTTTCTTTATAGCTAAGCTGATTATCCTAAATTTCAGTATTACGATACATGTAGTTTAAAAATCTAATGCATTTTGACCCACATGCATAACATCAGCTGATTTTAAGGTCACACTGACATCAGTTAAAATCTAGTTTAAATGTATGTCAAGTTTTGATCTTATAGTGCCATTCAAAAATGATAACAATAGCCTACGTGATTTTATGAATGAAAACAATTCAAAATTGCAATTTGCTGCAAATGTTTTTCATTTAAAATACATGTATTTAAGTATTTACACCAGACCTAAGTTAAAACTAATATCTTAAAGTCATTTTACGAATTAAATCAGGTAGTTTAGAATTTGTTCTTGGCACAAAATTTCTAATAGCAATATTTGATAGTGCTTTAGAATTGAGTTGTATCATTGCTCTTGAGTAGGCTGAGAAATTAGATCAAAATTGTCCCATAAGACAATATAAGTCAGTACAGGATAGTTTTTTTGGAAATCTTATTCCTAAATCACCTTAACACTGATATTAATTTTCTGTCATATCATCATCTTTTTTACATGGCCTCCACTAATTACAAGACAATGATTTTATCATTAGTAGATAAATTATAACATGTATTTAATCATCACTTCATTAACATTTCATTAAGTAGGTTATTAATTACTTATTAAATAACAATAAAAGTACTAGATAAAGGTGTAATGTGAAGCTAACAGTAGTACTTCAAGCTGCCTTGCAACATATGACAGTATTTAATTGTACAGTCACATGTTAACCCTATACCGGAAATGGTTAAGTGTGTTAATTTTGATATTTCAATTTTAAGAGTGATAGTAAGCCTGCAACTGTTTGAAGACAATGCCTAAAAAAAATCTTAGTGAGAAAATAATTCAATAAAGAATTGTGATGGGAACATAGAAATAAAGTGGTTTTCATAATACATATATTCATGAAATAGCATACATGCAAAATGAAAAGCAAAATTACAAAATAAAATAGCTAGACAAAAAGTAAATGAATAACAGTGTTATGCAGGTTGACAGATTTATCATATTATGTTCTTATAACATTATGCATCAAAAAGAAATTTTAATTACTTTACTTGTAACCTTAAAGTCCCCAGATACTGTCCTATTTAAAATGATATAAAATTGTATTTCAGGTATTCGTTTTAGCAAGCTAGTAAATGTTGATGAGGTGAAAGCCTTGGCTGCCCTAATGACATATAAATGTGCTGTTGTGGATACACCTTTTGGTGGAGCAAAGGCTGGTGTGAAGATTGATCCTAATGAATATTCTGAAAGGGAGTTAGAAAAGATCACAAGAAGATTGGCTGTGGAGTTGGCAAAAAAAGGATTTATTGGTAGGGTATAGAATTCTGAAAATGTGAATACTGCTAAAGAACTATTATATCTTCATTATTCTCTTTATTCATCTCTTTGACATACTAATAATTATATTGCTTGTAGTTTTATTAATAAGTTTTTGTCATCATGGCGTTAACTCAGGTAATTGTGATATCCATTATCTAATATGAAAAAAATCCTTAGTTGGTGATCATAACCGTCATGTTTTGTGCTTGTAGAGGTTACAAACAACAGACTTTTTAAAAAAATAAGCTTATGTATGTTTGTTTTTTTTGTAGGAGCTGGTATTGATGTACCTGCCCCTGACATGGGAACAGGTGAACGAGAAATGAGTTGGATTGCTGATACTTTCTCTCAAACTTTAGGTGAGGCTTGATATAAAGTTTAATTTCTGTAATTGTAACAAATATAACAGGCACATTTCATTTAAAATTTTCAAATAATTATTTAACAAGTATCATTTCAATGTAACAATTTGTTGATTTATAAGAGAAAGATTGTTTCCAATAGTTTGTTAAATGAAAATACCTGTCAATTTCTCTAGTCTACTTACTGAAAACTTTATTGTAAAAACTTATTTTGCAGGTCATTTTGATATCAATGCTAGAGCCTGTGTAACAGGTAAACCTATAGCTCAGGGTGGTATTCATGGTCGTGTTTCTGCTACTGGTAGAGTAAGTAGATAATCACCTTACATTCATACCAACTTTATTCTTAGTCAGTCTTTTAGTTTTGTATCTTGGCGCCAAAAAATTAATGACTGAACACCCCTCATTTTCCTCTAACAATACTCTCGTTAAAATGGTATAGAATATCTAATAACGTAATACAATTTATGCAAATATCTGACCCTTGGCTTGCTTAAAGGGAGAGGTACACCAATCATACCTTAGTCCCTGAAACAAATTTGTTTTTAACTAAGCCAGTCAGTAATAGGGTTTCATCGTCGAAATTTGAGTCTTCAGATCCATATGTGTCGAGAATTTTTTGGCGTTTGAAAGTTAAAAAAAGAGTCGTCTTTTCTTGAGACACTGCCATATATATAGAAAAGACATGATCTATAGAAATTGGAAAAGAAATTCATTGTTTAAGATATTTTCAAAGGAATTATGCAATTTTCGTACATTTCTAGTACTTCTGAGGACTATTTACATATAACATGACTCAAACCAACCCACCAAAATGGCTCATCTTTCCTTTGAAAATGTTCTTTCTGTCCTTTGTTATAAAATAATTACTCCATTTCCAAACCAGTTTGCTTACTGAAGCAACATTGCTGCTCATGTACATCCTCTGATAGTTAGTCTTGATGGGAATACATTAAATATGTTTTGTTTTAAAGGGTGTATTCCATGGTATTCAGAATTTTGTCAATGAAGCTAGTTATATGAGTATGATTGGATTGACTCCAGGAATGGGTGATAAAACCTTCATTGTTCAGGTTAGTGGAATTTCCCAGTTCAATTCCTTGGGTAGTTTGAGAAAATTTCTTTGGATTTTTCTCACAATTACTGTTAGTCCTGAAAAATGGGGATGGTTACATGTAAAAACATCTGAAAGAATGACAAGGTGGGCACTTAAAAAATCAAAAATCACGAATTTTATTGCAATGACTAATTTGTTGTGTAATATTTTGTATTTCAGGGGTGTGGTAATGTAGGTTTCCACTCGTTTAGATATTTACACCGTGCTGGTGCTAGATGTATTGGTATCAAGGAATTTGATGGTAGTATTTATAATCCTGAGGGTATTGATCCTAGACAACTTGAAGATTATAAACTAGTAAGTCACAGTATAATGTACATGTCTGAAACATCTTACCTTTTATTGAGCTCGGACAAGTGAATTTTTAATAAATAAATCTGGAGAATTTTAGTTGTTATTCTATCTATATTACATGTAACACCATGTCATGTCATTTTATGTTATTTTAGGAAAATGGTACAATTGTTGGATTCCCTGGTGCTGAGCCTTATGAAGGTGATCTATTAATAGAAAAATGTGATATACTGGTTCCAGCTGCTAGTGAACAACAACTAACAGCTGAAAATGCTCACAAGGTTCAAGCTAAGGTAACCTTTTGTTTTGGTTTTTATGCTTTCTGGTTTTGTGCTTTATAAAGATTCATGTTCTTGTATGTGAATTGAAACATTGCTAGAATTGAAGAAAGGAGTAGTATATCAATGATAGTGTTCTTATTTATCTAATGTTCTGTCTATTTCTAAGTTATGTCATTTGAAGATTATTGTTCAATATTATACTGTCTTACAGACCTTTTATATTTCACTACTGTTTCCTTTCCTGTTTTTTTACACATTCCACAATTTGAAACCTAAACCAATCCAAACTATCAGGCATGTCTGTTTAGTGCTTTTATTTTTTATTCAGCATTATTCATGTATGAGAGGCATACCTTCAAAGATTTCCAGGAATTTGGAAAGACAATAAAACAAATTGAGTAATATATCTTGATGCATAACTAAAATGTTAAGCTCATTTCAAAAAGCCATGTTCAGATTTTCAACCTTTGTTTTATTTTTGTTTTCAGATAATAGCTGAAGGTGCTAATGGCCCCACAACACTTGAAGCTGATCAGATCTTTTTACAGAACAATGTTTTAGTTATTCCAGTAAGTTGTACTTTATTTCTATACACAATTTTATTCATAATAACTATTTTGACAATAAACTGTATTTTGATGAATGTATGCGTAGATTAATTTTTAAATGATAACGTAGCATATTTGTGTTTTTAGGATTTATATATCAATGCTGGTGGTGTGACAGTATCTTATTTTGAATGGTTGAAGAATTTAAATCATGTTAGTTACGGTCGATTAACGTTTAAATATGAACGTGATTCCAATTACCATTTATTAGGTAAGTGGTAAAGTCTATTTATCAAGTATCTAATATCTATTGACCAAACTTGTTGGGATAGTAAGTGACATTAAGTTTTTACAATTGAGTTGACTGAAGAAATGGCTCCTGGTTTGTATTGAAGAGTTATTATCATTACCATTGTTAAAACAAAATTGTATAATACATAATTCAATACTTTACTTTGATCTATGATAGCACTGTGACATTACTCAAAAAAGTCCTGGGTATTCAGCAATTTCTATAATCTTTAATATTATAAACAATATTTTTGAAAATTTTACTTAACAGAGAGTGTACAGAGATCATTAGAAAGAAAATTTGCTAGAGATGGTAGTAAGATACCTATTATACCTAGTGAAGATTTTGAAAAGAGAATTGCTGGTGCCTCTGAGAAAGATATAGTACATTCTGGTTTAGAATATACCATGGAAAGATCTGCTAGGGTAAGTTTTGATTGATATCTTATCTTGCCTGGTTGATTTGATTACAGTGGATTACTGTTTATCTGCACATTTCTATTCTCAATAAAATCATGTGGTCTAACAAATTTCCCTATAGTTGAAACATGTCATTCTATAACCAGAGTTACGTCCCTCCCTATTAGACAAACATCGATCAACTGAGTTGGAAGCCAGTTTCGCTTATTTATTAACATAAATTTTCGTACCATAACTTCGTAGGTCCATGAACGATAAATGGCATTCAGGTGTGATTGAACGAAAATATCTTACATATGATCATTAAATGAATCTCACAAAGAGGATTTATTAAACACAACATCATGCTATATCATAAATACCACTAATCCGGAAGCCAGTTAGAATAAGCCACAGTGTTACCGGATCACCGGGTAATTTCACATGGTCATATAATGTTCCCAGTAAGAAGTGTGCAGATATCAGGGTTTATGGATTATATTAACAGGATAAATGTGGTTCTGCTACACATAACTGTATCTATTCACAGGGATTGGTCAACTCTACTATTGGTAAAATATTGGTCCCCTACTGGATTGTAATTTGAAAATAAGTTATATGTTCTGTTAACAAGAAAAGCCCTTTGAATTAAATTTTTTTTTTAGCCAATTTTTGAATACGCCTTGTATTTTCATAAGACTATGCAAATCAACAACATTAAGCGTTCTAAACCTTTTTCTGTTAACAGAATATTTAATCTCTACCTATTTGTATTTCAGAATATAATGAGAACAGCTATGAAATATAATTTAGGTTTGGATCTGAGAACAGCTGCCTACATCACTGCCATAGAAAAAATATTTGGTGTCTATTATGAAGCTGGTATCACCTTTGTATAAACCTTATACTCAGTAGATTATTTTAAACTACAGCCATTTTCTTCTTGTCCGTATTTCGAGGGAATATTAATTTTTGTTTTGTGCGGACAGCTGAAATGATAGTTTTCACTCTCAGAATCAGTGGTGTTTGCTAGAGCTCAGTTTTTGGAATGCTCTGATAATTCTTATGACCTCACATATGTTAGGATATTAAAATATATGGGAAATTTGCATTTACTATTGTGCATTTAAGTATTGTATTTACAAATAGTTGGGCATGTGATTTTTCATCTACATTCCATTAAGTGATCTCTAGCAAAACATAGAATTAAATTTTATTGTTTCTTATAGCTTCTATATAGATTTATTCAGTACCTCAGAGATATATATATTCCTCTTCGTTTTTAATTTTCTGAAACCTTCTCGAGACTTACTGAGATTATAAAAAAAAATTTCATTGGAGCAAAAAAGTGCTGGGTACATGTGAATTATCTGAACCTATCTGTATAATATGACTATGATGCCATATACATAATAACTTGTAAATATAATAATGAAAGAGATTTTCAATTAGTGGAAAGATATCACCTGGAATTCACATGTTGTTGAAAGATTTTGCAATTGTACAAAATAATTTATGATTGATAAGAAATGAACTGAAATGAACTTTGAACCTGCCTATAGTTAAGTTTTATCAGTTATTAAGAAATAAATTAACTAATTAAATTATTCTGCTATCAGAAGAGAATATATTACCATGTGATGTATCTTAGTAGTGCTATACTGTTTATAAACAGTGATAATAATATACTTACTTATATTAATTTTATTTCCCGGTTTCTTGTTTTCTTTCTTGTTTACTTAATAATTTAATATAAATATTTCTATTTAGATAAAAAATAATAAATTAACCCTGAAATTTCAATGTGTTTGAAAGATTTGATCAATATCTGGCCTCTGGTATTTACTCATTAATAAAATTCTCAGGTTGTTGTTGCAGTTGAAAGCAATATTTGAGACTTAAAGCGCACAGTTAAAGAAAGTTGACTTACGCCAGTATCCAATCAAAAGCTCTAGATTAACCAAGGTTAATGTATGCTTTTGATTGGATAATAATAATTTGTGTGTATCCCCATGTATTTGAATAGGATTTGAACACCTTTACATAACTTTTACCCTTTATATTAATGCTATTTGATTTGAATACAGCTGTGCATATTTCATCTTCAAATTATAGCAGTTAATATTTAAAACATTATGATGCACCAATTTGAAATAAAGTGGTTGTATTTAAATCAGATTGATATTTTTAATCGTTTTTCTCTTGTAAAGCTACTTTGTACTAAACATCTATGTCTAGAATATTTTTGAAAATATACATGATTTCGAACAAATTTTACAATCAAACATCTTATAGAAATTGTAAATGCAGTCATATCTCATTAAGAAATATATATATATATATATATACATAAATCTTGTAGAACTTAGTGTGAATTCATTATATTATCAGAATCAGACCCGCAAGAATATATAAATTTAAATCTCCCTTAGGCACCCCTCATGAAGAAATTCTAAAAATTCGGACAACCGACCAATTCCAATTGCAACTTAACACCATTGCTCCTGCAAATATATTACTTGCCCATCCGAACATTCCTGTCTGGCTACTGGCCTGATCTTCCAAGGACTTAACAATATTGTAATCATTGATGTCTTTAATGTTTGCATGATTAAAATCTATAGTGAGTGGTCAAACTTCACTTCCAGTTGTTTATAAAACTTTCAGATTTTCACCAAAATGACTCCTGAGTTTTATTGCCATGAAATATTAATAATTGGCATTAGTGACACAAGTTAACAGTTGTTGAGTAGCAAGATACGCCCAATTCCCTGATAAAACAAGGGTGGTCAGCAATCTTTTTAAAAACGTACCAAATGTCTAATTTGTCCAAGACAGTTTTAACAAAACAAAAATTCTGACAAAAACTGTCAACTCTATCATGTTCACAAGCCAACAAATTTTGATTAGTTTTTACTAAGTCAAAGGGCAATAACTCAAATTCCATTCATCCAAAAATCAACGACAATATAAGACTACATTATAATATGGGCATATAAAAACAGTATATAACGTTCAATTGAGGGACAGTGCAAGTGAAAATTAAATATTTTATTCTTCATACACATACTTCAACAAACTTTTATACAGAAATCAACTTTTAATGTAAGTCCATTAGAGAATCTCGAGTTGTAGCTACAACAGTCTTCATTTGTCACATTTTTTTTATGAAAAAGTAACCTGATTTCTGCATTCACTTAACATCCACTGGATACATTGTACAAATATATGAACATGTTCATTTTGGAAACAGCAAAGGGGGATTTCCACTGGATGTATATATTCAGGTTGAATGTCAATATAAATAAACTATTTACTACACTGAATATTTAGAATAAGCACCCACAGATTTCAACATGGTATAAATGAAGGAAAATATTTTAAGTTTTTGCCTCTTTCACAACGGGCTTTAATAAATCATCGTTGTCCATATCAACGTAAAATTTTTCATCTGAAGGCGGAGCCACTACCACCATTTCTGTTACAAACTTTGCTGAAAAAACAATATAAACCTTGCCAGAAAAAGCATCGTACTATCTTTTTTTTAAGCCTGGTTTCCATTGTCAGTGATGAAGGTTGAAAGAGCTGACATGGAAAAATGTCTAGTTGTACAGATAGGACAATAAACTGACTGTATACTACAGGCTGCAAACTTTAACAGTTAAAATAGGGAGGAGAATTTTCTTCATTGCACACTGCTTGACATTGCCAACTTCATTAGTTCAAACAAGTGCAAGTAGAACATGAAACTTGATTCATTTCATTTACAAAGTATCATAATGGTGGTTGAAGAATCATCTTGTTGTTTTTCATATTAATAAATTACATGTTGGCAACTTTAAACTTATCTGAGATCGATCACCTCAAATGGTTTTTTCATCAAATTTTTAAAATTGGATGAAAACTCGAACTGTTACAACAATATCATGCTATTTTGCTTTTGACTACTAAGTTGTAAATAATCTTAGATGTGACATTAAAAATCCTACAAATAGTGACTATATTTGAATAAACAGGTATAGCAAATCTTTATTAAATTTTCATTATAAAATTACGTGTTTTTATTTAACATTTATATTTAAAATTTCCAATTAACTAAATATTTTTTAGAAGTCAATGGTTGTACTGTATTATTGTATTAGTTGAGGGTGATACACCATATTATGTTTACAATTAAAAATTAAATAGCACAACTTTCCCCGCTACAATTGTTGACATGGACTGCATATACAACAACATTTTCATTTTCAACATGAGTAACACCAGTGTCAAATCTCATGATAATGATCCTTACAAAATAATTGTAAAAAAAGAACTTACCAACTTTCTTGGCCTTTTTCTTGAGGATTTGTGGCATAAATGAATTGTAATTTGCAATCAATTTATCAGTTTCCATTTCCAGCTGAAGCAAATAAACATATATATCAAATCAGAATAATCCATTGCTTTACAAATTCATTCATTCATTCCAACAGTCTAGATGGATAGTTTCTACGCAATCTCTGGATATTAATTGCATTCAGCCGACTTATTTATTTTCTTTTCCCCTATAATTGGAACCTCTATGCTAATAATCCAGGGTTTAACTCAGGGAACAATAGTGGCTTCTTTTCATGTTCTAAAAACAAAATTAGACTAACTGGTCCAAGTGGCACTTGTATTCTACCAGCGAATTCTTCATCCATAATTAATTTACCCTCTACACTTTGTAAGTGAAATGTTATCAATGATTGGATATTAGCATCTAGGGTATCTACAAAAAAACATTAAATAATATTTCAACAATACAAGACAAGTGTAACATCCTATAGAGGAGTGACTCTTCTAGTGAGATCTTTAAAAAAACAATTGATTATTTCACAATGTTTATAAACTCTATGATCAGTTAAACCTAATCATTTTCATATGATCTTTGATGTACTACACTAGTATAACTAAGACTTTATAACCAATTTGCTCTGTAAATTATAATTGCAGTGTGGACTGATATATATTTTGAAATATTTATACCATTGTTAGAGAGCAGAGTTGAAACTGAGTAGTAGGTGAACTAATTTGAAAATCTGAATGTTTCCAAAAATGTTACTAATACATTAAACAAGGATTATATTGATACAATTAAAATTTACCAGAAAATCAACCAAAAGCAAATCTTGGAAAATTAAAAGAATGTAGTTTGCACTGGATGTTTTTTATGATGTTCTATTATATATAGTTTTTGTAAAGTAAGGGATGAATTTCAAGGAAGTGATTATGTCATTGTGATTTGCTTATTACCAATATGTCATCTGCATCAAATAAAAGAACTTCCAACAAATTCAATCAACATAAAAAATGCTACCCAGCATAACTTGAAAATATCTTATTAATCATAGAATATCCTTAGCATGAAACTTATTTAAAATACATGTATTATGTAATTTAGAATTCAATACTTACTGTCCCTTTTATTTGGGAATTTTTGTAGTAATATAGGACGTAATTTAATAATCTGTTTAGCAGCTTCAGGTGTTGATAACAATACATCAAAATCATCAACAGAGATACCACCAGTTTCTATCTGAAAGAAAAATACAAATCTGTATTTACTGAAAACACTCTCATCCATCAAACATACAATAAACAGTTGTCAGTGCAAAGAATAATGGTGGTTCACTTTAAATTTGATCACAATTTTCATTTTGAAGGTTTTCACATATAGCTTTCAAAAACATGATCTACAAAAAATGTCTATTCAGATCTCAATATCAGATGTTTTTACAGTTAGAAATAGAAAATGGAGTCTAGTCTGCTGGGTACAGTGGCTGCTGGAATAGAAACAAGACAAGAAACCTACCATTCTCCCTATATCTAAACCTCCAAATATTTCAGCTCCCATTTCTTCTGCTATTTCCTGATCTTTTTTTTCCTAAAATGAATCAAACTATGTTGTTATACTATGTTATTGAAAACAATCAAGGATTTACATCTTAAATGTTCTCAGTTTGTGTTAAATTGACATAATCATTTCTATATATTTAATTAATGCCCCTCATCTTTTCACCAAATGTAGACATGAGAATAAGTTCAATTTGTCCAACTTCAGTAGGGATGCAGGCTGAATATAGGTCAGTTGTATGAAGATCACATAGCGTGAAACTAAGAAACAACATGATTCAGTTCTGTTTTAATATTTCTTTTTAATTTCTATGTTTAATGACTAACTGAAAATCTCTGGAAGCCTCAGACCTGTACAACACGGTAAACAAAATACAGACTGCCCTAAGAATCCATTGCTTTGTATATAGTTTGATAGTTTTTTACCCTGGTCATTAGACATTTAGTCATTTCTAAACTTTCTTTGTGACCGTGGCCAGTGCTTTAAATAGGAGTTTTTATTAACTTCTTCACCCTTGATAGAAAGAAATCTGGGTAAAAATATTCTAAATATTCAAAACCTACCAACGATATAACTGCTATTCTTTTCTTTTCACTAGTTTTAAACTCATTAGGTACTAAAACTTGTATACTGTTAAATTTCTTTGATCTTTGTTCCTGAAAAAAGAATTGGAAAATTATGAATCATTATGATACAAAAATTAAAGACTTTATCTATTCCTCCTTCAACAAAAAACTTGCATTTAAATAGCATTATTTGAATGAAAATAATATATATTTAGTATATTATATGCTTATTTATTACAGAAAACTGCTAAACTGAGTATCACTTTACCTCTGACTATACTGGGGTGATTTGAGTCTTAAATATATGTAAATAGTCTTCAGAAGTGCTAGAGGTCTAAGAAAATCACATAATTCCTTCAAAAACATTTCCTAGGAATTTTACTCACTATTTCTATATATGTCTTTTCTACATGCCACAGAGTATCTATATTGATGAATTGTCATTTTAACATTCAAACGCGGATAATTCTGGACACACAAGGATTTGAAGGCTCAAATTTCCATGATGAGCTATGAACGCTATTATTACTTATTGACTTAGCTAAAAAATTTCACGTTTCTGAGACTATGGTATGATTGGTCAAAAAATATTGCACTGTCCCTTTAATGTAATATAAAAGATAGCTTGCCAGGCAAGGTAATATACGCCCAATTGCAGCTATGATTTTAAATAAAAATATTTGGCAGTACAGTTATAATTACCAGTATAAAATATTCAACCTTCAGTTATACACTTCTTTTGAACTTTTTGATGTGATACTGAATAATATTACCAAGTTTCGTCAAAATCTGTCAAGAATTGGGCTTTCTAGAGTGTTTACAGGCTACAACTTGAATGCGTTTTTAAGAACAAGGGAAATAACTCATACTAAATATTTTCGATTTTCTGATTTTTGATTGGGTTCATTGGGTGATTACAAATACTCAGACCAAGTTTCTGTCAACAATTGTGCCTTGAAGAGTGTTTATGAGCAATTGTGGACGAACGGGCATGAGTGACGGCAATATACGCCTCCCCATTTTATGTGGGCACATAAAAATGATTTTTACATTTATACATATATTATATCAGTATAACTGGATACATATCTATTTGTACATGTATTTAGTTTTGTGTTTATAATCACATCAATACCTTTTTAGTTGAGTGCAAATCTAGAGAAGCTTCAAAATATACAAGACCATCTAGATTATTGAGCATGGCTGGCTGTGCTAGTTCACGATGTCTAGTTATACATGTCTGAAGACTATAACGTTGTAGGGGATAGTGGGCATGTAACCAAACATCTTCCTGAGGAACATCACCTAAATATTTCTTTTCTTTCTGTTTCTTCTTGTGAAGTATTTCTCTGCAACAGAGAATTTGTTCTATAAAATATTCATGAATGACATAATAATAATTATATTATAATCTATCATATTTCATAATTTTGTTGAAACTTAAAAATACTAGTTTGGATTTTTCGTCATTGTAAGAAACATTGATTGTATCAAATCTTTCTAAAGAGCATCATAATATGGTATATTGACATAACCTTTCTTTCACATGAAAAAATCATTTTCATTCTTCACTGAAGTTTCTCTCAAGCACATACAAAATAATGTTTAAATAAAACTTGCCCAACTTACTGGGTTTTATCTATCTTCACCCATTTAACTTTATTAACCCCTGCCTTTGGAAGTTTGGTTCTGCTGCTTTTCAATGATTTTTCGTGTGCACTTGTCCATAGCACTGGCACTGTTTTAGTCAATAGTGTTTTCTGATGCTTTGCAGTACTGTAGGCAACTAAAAAAGAAATAAATACATTAATCTATATTAATTCATCCCATCAAGACCTACTACTGAACAAGCTAAGACATTAATATTGCTTACCAAGGTGGTATTGCAGATTGCAAAATATTTATAGTTAAAGTACCCTCCAGTAAAAGTTTTTAAAAGATATATATATTGTTAGCATGGATGATGGAAAGGGATATTTGCTGTTATTTCCAAATTTTGTTTTTATTTTGTGTTTTGTTTGCATTCAAGAGGCACTGATAGGGATATTTACGGAAACAATAATTACTCAGATGACAAAGGGGTGTTTGCTACCAGGATAATTGTGACATCAACTCAGGCCGACAATTCCAACAGCAGCCTTACCAAATGTGACTTAAGAGCGTTCTTCCTCCTTCTATGAAGTGGATCATAGGCAGTGAATTCTGAAAATGATCCTGTTAATTTAGCAGATGATTATACCGAGAATCAGCATATTGAAAACAATGGTAAGCATCCAAACTTCATGTAAAAAATAATGCATAGCCCTTCAAAGTTTTAACAATGAAATGAGGAAGACCAGATAATACTTGATAGTAAATATAATTTTTAAGGGAAAATAGGTTGTCTTTGGACTGATAAAAATGACAAGCAAATATTTTTTGGAAATATGAATTTGCACAGGATATGTATGCAAGGGAAGTGTATATCTCAGATGGTATATCATCAAACCTTATCCTTTCTTACAATAGTAAGACCATACAAAATAAATAGTCTGATTTACAGGCCCAGTGTGCTCCAGTAAAATACCCCATGCTTCAAATCTAAAGTACTTCTGCTCGCTCTGATTTATTCCAGTTGAAAATCTAATAAAGCACTTATAAATAATCGATATTAATTTCGCCTTTTTTTGAATTGCCTAATAATACAGACACGTAACCTAATTTCGTTCTAACCTATTTTTTGTGCATCTACGGAAATGATTAATAATTTACTTGTGTGACCTCAAGTGACCTCTGCATTTGCATGTTTTGATTTACATGGGTTATCTATACAATGCCAGCCATCAGAATTTTTCTTGTCGTTTCAAAGGCACGTCAAATTTATTATTATATTTCAATAATAATTGCGATATTTGGTACGGTAATAACAGAAATCCGCCATTTTGTATATGTTAGAAACAAGATTTATTTGGAACATATACAAAATGGCGGATTTCTGTTATTACCAAATATCACAATTTTTGATCTAGTTTCCTTATAATCCCAAGCTCTAATTGAAAATTTCAAGTGTCGTCTGCTAGAATATGTTCCAGTGAACAAAGTCTCGTGACAAATTAGCGGATTCCATGTCAGCAGAAAAATTCTATGGAACAGAATGTGGGCCATATTCTTAAGTTGTTTCAATAACTTTTAGGAATAAATCATTCTTACGTTTTACTTACCTTATTTTGTCAGTCACTATTTTTTTTTAAATCATTGTTCTTTGAAAGAGTTGTCAATAGTTATAATGAAATATTATTGAAGATAAATACTAAGAAAAGTTAATTCTACCACCAGGTTTTTCTTGACTTATTAATAGATCGAACATCATACACGAAAATAAGTGACGCATTTTGCAGCCATTGTGGAGTTGGTTACTAATGAAATATGGTTCAAAGTGAGGGATTCATAAAGAAAATCGAAACAAACCAATTCTAATTACTTTATAGAATATCTGAGGAAACATTCGAGACATATACAAAATTTTTCAGTTTTTTAATTTAGACAAAATTCGGTGTTGAATCCTTATATGCACGAATATTGGTTACACCACTGTAGCCTACATATATTTTGAAGACATTTGATTTGGTCTTGGACACAAATGGCATACGTACTTAAAAATTATTTAGCATATTTGTGAAATGCCAGGAAAAATTTAAATACTTAATTGAAACTAAAGCATTACTGTTATGAATTTAAAGATCTCTACAGTCTCAAGTAGTGGAAAAGTTTGTAAAATATTTTGTCACCTTTTAGCATCATGGGGGCTGCCATTTTGTTTAGACCTAATAGAGAGTCAGTAATAACGTTTTCGTATAAACTTTTACCGTTATGCTGAGAAGTGATTATAATCGCAATTGAAATAGAATAACTCAACCAAGCATGAAATTTGTTTATTTAAGAAATTTTTTCCGTGTCTATGTTTTGATAAACTTGGCATTAAAAATGATAGCTTTACATGAGGTTGTCAACCAATCAGATTTCTCGAGACAAAATTTGCACGAGAAATTTCCCGAACTTTTCTTACGCGACTTTACATTAGATCAGCCATTTTCATCAAGTAAGAAAAGTTGCAGAGACAGCTGAGAGCGAAAACACTGCATTTTAAAAAGACTTTTGAGGAGTATCGATGAAGGTAGCTTTTGCCTCCTTAAAGTCCCTACCTCTCTGTACTATATCCTTAAATTCCTATCCTCAAAACCTCGTAATAGTTGAAGAATCAGCCTGTTAAATTTGTAATTTGCATGTTGATGAAAATATGAAACCATTGGCATTACAATAACACACTGCTTACACTTGCTGAAGCACTCCATATGGTGTAAGCTGCATTGACTTCACGGAACTTATAACATTAATGAAATAACCTAATTTGACTTATTATTGTTTAGTAAGAATTAAGATATGGATTGTGGGTTTTATGATTGGCTTGTGTTATTCAAAAAACATGTTATTTAATCTAGCTGTTCGGCGGTGTTCATTATTCTCGATTGCAATGAATTTTTCTTGATTTATCAATTTAAAGTTTGAAGACAATAACTGCTGAATCACATGCCCATGCACAATCATCTTTCTTCCTGTCTAGTAGGCCCCTACTAGGTTATTCATTGGCTTTTGTGATTTCTGAAGCCATCAGTGCATATCATGTCTACTTAAATTATCATACAATGGGTCATGGGCTTTTGAAATTATTATCGGAAACCAAACCCAAAAACTGGAATATAATTAGACGGAAAAACCTCTTATTTTTGTTACAGGAGATTGTGTCAGTATGCCTAAAGAAAAACAAAACAATGACAATGTACACAACCGTCGTCAATATACGCTCATGTCATCAGAAGATATAGCCTCGGGTAAAAAATCATCATGGTACGCTTTAGAAATCTCAGGTAAGTCCTGTGGAACCTTTTGTAATGTTCCAAGTAGTCAAATTAGATCAGATAATATGTTGGTAATATTTTACATATATGAAAGTCATTCTAAATACTGGCTTCAAAAGAATAACAACCATTCAAATTTTCTGATATTTTTTCTGCAGTATTCCAACTGAACTATTCAGGCAGTATCTTCTCAATATAAGTACATTTAGATATTTCATTGCATTAATTTTCTGAAAATCACTTTTCAATAATAGAAAAAGCTTAGATAAGAATAAGACGAAACGTATCTTTTTCTACTTTTTCCACATTATCGTGATCTACCTTCTGTGTTTCAGGTCTAGTAAAAAATATTTCTCCAGAATTATGGGGATTACAGTTTTTAAGCTCATTGTTTTTAAGTGATAATCATCTTACTCATCTACCACCGGAGATCTGCAAACTTTACCACCTGACCATTTTAGATTTATCCAATAATAAATTGCGTAGTTTACCAGCAGAAATTGGTGACTTAATACAACTGCGAGAATTGCTGCTAAACTATAATTGTTTACGAGTACTACCTTACGAAATAGGAAAATTATTCCAGTTACATAGTTTAGGTAAGTCTATTCAGCTTATAATGATTTGTATCTACCACTGTGTATGTGATAAGATATTCTGTAATGAGGTAGATTTTTAAAAGATGAGAAAATAGTTTGGTCACACAATGTCTGCTTCTGCAATTCATCAACCTGAAGCAGAGGTTTGTACGGTTTTGGGCCTTCTTTTTAACCTTCTATTTTGTCCCTAACCTATCTATAACGTTAAAAAGGATATACTTTGAGGTCATATACATGGTTTTTCTAATCACACTCCCTCATCAATAGAAAGGTAGTAATGTAGTTCTTTACTAAAGCTTTGTAACAGGTGGTGAATATTAACTAATCAAAACGACTTGTGCTAATTTCCAAAGAGATTCATACATGTTCATTTGTACAAAACAAACTGCAAACTGACTATATTGAAGAGTGTTGAAAATCATACTAGATATGGAATAAAGAAAAAATGACAACTTTTGGCTTAATTTTCGAAATGTAGGTAATGGGGACTTCCATGTATTGATGGAAAGAGACATTACTTTTAGACCAAATAAGAGCTTCATAAAAGCAAGGAGCTTCAGAGTGATTTTTGTAAGGGGCAATGCGAATTTTCCATTACCAGTATCAAAAACATTGTAAATTACAACTGAAAATATTTCTAAAATATGCTATTTACATCCATGTATCTACTTGATCAAACTGAATTTGTTTTACATGCGTAAATCGAAAATTGAGAGTACTAATTGTTAAGTAAGAAGATTAAAGTAGTTTTGGTGTTGGCCTCATAAAAAAACTCCATATTGTTAGTTAAAACCTTTAGAATATATAGGAGACCTATTTCTCTAAATTAGGTGTTTTTACCAAAAGCATAAAGACTTAAAAAGTTTACATAGACCTTTTAAATAGTTTTGACGTTAAGAAATTAACGGCAGAATTTTAAAAACTTTCAGATAATTAAGGGACCTATTTCTCTAAATTCTGATCATTACAACCATTTAAATAATATATTGAGGATTATGTGTGAAATTGAGAATAGTAGGCTAATGCAACAGAAATATCAGCCATTAAGAAATCTGCCTGGAGCAAATTCATTATTTCAGACTGAAAATAACTTGCTCAGTGATATTTCTTTCAGGTTGATTTGGAATTAGATTAAGAGATGACGTAAAGGTTTACATGTACTAACTTTCTGTGTGCCATTTTAAGATCTACCTCAGGCTATCATGAAAAATAGAGATGTATTTAGATTACAGATGTATATTTCCAGCGATGATTAAGTGTCCAATTATTTTATGGGTTCATAGGACATCATTTGAATGTGTCAATAGAAATGAATAAAAGACTGCAATAGTAGTCAGCAGAATTGATTTGCTTTACATTTCACTTCTATTGTTTATACACCAGACATGACAGGTACAAAATGACAGCAAAAATTACATAAGCTATAAGCTATGCAGTACACCAACATCTTCTGACACAACGCATGGAAATATTACAAATATCTGTCATGTCATTTCATATCTATTCCTCCGCAAAATAAATTGGTCATTTTAAAACGTATTTCACTCGAAAATGTTTCAACGATTAAGAATGAATGGATATTCGTTCCCGATTTTCTGTATGTCCGAGGTGACATAAATTTCAGTTGTAGACCACCTTGCCTCCCATTGCCTCCCTGGTCAGACGATTCCTCTTTATTTCCCGCCCTTGGCATTAATTCCTCCCCATGGTCTTCCAATTTCTCCCATGTTGAGAGTCATCTCGTATAAGGTGTAAATAGCCCAATGTTAAGGACTGATCTTAGATTGTAAAGGGATTGATTCCTTTCAATTTTACAAAAAATTCTAATATGCAAGTTGTCCTGGAATAATTTATGGGAAAGAATTGTTTTGAGCATAAGGAAATTTAGACTTAATTTTATAGACATATGACATATAACAAAAACCTGAAAAAGAAAAAAATTTCAAATGCTTGCTGTGAAACCTTAATAGTGCAGACTGTGATTCTCTCAATTTTTTGGTTCCTGAAAACACAAATTGCAAAGAATTCTTTTGCCTTCGTGATTTGATAAACTGAATGTAAGTTAAATTGGAGTTATTTACCCTTGATCCTATGTTATTTTTGCAGGTCTGCAGGGCAACCCATTGAATCCAGAATTAAATAATTTATATAATGAATGTAATGGAACCAATCGTCTCCTCAGCTTCATGTTAGATTCACTACCCAGTAAGTTTACTTTTAACTTAGATAATAAAATTCTCAATCAGAAAAGAAATATGGAAAATCAGAAAATTTTCACTTCTCATTAGTGTTAGGGTTTACATTTGATGTGTTACCAAATATGAATTTGAATAAGCTTAAAAACCAAAGAAGCAATTTATCAGAATTTGCTGTTCCAATATTTTACTGATTGAGAATTTCTTTATAATTTTACACAAAAAATACAAAATCAGTTACATTTATATATAATGAATGATACAAATTACACTTAATATTCATACATTCACTATATACAAAAACAAATTCTTTCATTTACTCCCATAGCTCATTAGTCTTTAGTAGATTTAAACCATTTGTTCTCATATTTTATTTTACATATGAAACAGCAGAAATCAAATAAATAAAATGTATTAATGAATTAAATTAACCATGAATTAGTAAAAACATTATATACTATGAATTCCGATAGAACAAAACACAAGAGAATATATTATGGTATAACAAAATTTGAAGTAATAAAGCACTAAGTTTCAACGCAATTTACACCTGTCGTCATCAAATGATAGTCGTTAAAAAATTTTGTTATACCATAATATATTCTAAAGAATTTTGTTATACCATTATATATTCTCTTGTGTTTTCTGTTATATGTGCTTCTAAATGTCATTCAAATCTTAACCATGAATTCATATATAAAAACACATACAAGCTTTTACAAAAATAAATACTACAGAATTATAAATAAAGAAATCAAAATCATTAACAAACTACATATCCAGTTGCAAACTATTCAAATTCAATTCATGGTTAACAAAAATATGAATAACAAATTAGCATTACACTATAAACAATGTGATAATGGTTTGGTAGATCTCTACTTAATCACAAATACTTTCATTTACTGATTCAAGAATGATCTGGATATTTACAGTTCTTTCTCATCAATATTGGTATAAAAATTAATCTATCTGCCCTCCATGAAGATTTTTAGTTTTTTTCAAAATCTTTTGGAAAAAACAGCTTATGAAGAAGATGAACAGCTGTTAGAAAGACTGGAAGTTGCTGGAAGTCTCCGAATGACCATTGAAATAAGATGATAACAATAGCATTTTGTGTAACTGAATGCTCTGAAGGATTCAATTAGTCAAGGTTGTACATGGAGGTAACAATTTTGAATCAAGATTGGAGTACATGTCAGTATGTAGAGTAGAGCAACCAGAAATACAGCATTGAATGTCTGCAGAGAGGGAAATGGAATCCACTGAAAGTAAATACTGAAATGGGAGATAACTTATACAGTCTTCTATTGGTACACAACCATTTTGTGACTATTAGTAGCAACATTGTAGAAATGTATTCAATATTATACATCTCCAAAACTCACCATCCACAGTGTGAAAAAAGTCTTCTGCTCTCGGTAGAACAACAGAAAACTATTTTGAGAAGAAGAATAATGACATTACTTGAATATGTGAATTCATAAAATTATAATATGTGTCAGTCGTTTAGCTCCAGAACATTTTTCCTGTCTATAAGATAGGTCAATGGTAAACCGTTCAGGAAGGATTCTTTACTTCCTGAATTTTTGTAATTATATCTATTCAAAATAATTTATTGTTTTGTCTGGCATGTTTTTTTTTAACATTCCTTTTTTTTTATTTTGACTTTTTCATTGTTTTTTTTTCTAATTGAGAGCATATCTGAGAACAATCTTTTTTCTGTTGAACTGTTTGGCTTCGATGACAAGCTAGACAATATAGGAACTAGGTATTGATTATAGTGTAGTTTATCTGAGAAAGTCTGATATATTTTAAGTTCAAATTGTAGGTTGCTTCTAGATTTTAATACCAAAAAATTATTGTGTTTTGTACAACAAGAAGATAAAATGAATATTTAGTATGAACTGGGCAAATATCATTCGATGTTCAACATAGATGGTGACGACACGTCTTGATTATCCATTTTCAGATAGCTCTGTTTGAATTTTTTATCGTGAAGATTATCAAAGAAAATGGGTTAATTTTACTAAAATAGTAGTATGTATGATTCTCAATGACCTGTAATTCAAAATCTATGTTTTACAGAATCAATAATTAACATTAATCAATGTTTAACAAGTTCTTCATAGCTGAAGGAAATTGGACAATATTATTGATTAAATAAAAGAAATCTTAACAACTGTATGGAGAGCTATGTGCATCTAATGATTGCCAATGACCTGTTAAAAACTTATCATTTTTTACTTGATCAATAACTCCTTTCCGGCATAGGGTATTCAGGTCATTGACAGTTTTATAGAGCTGTAGAAACAAGAGGAAGTAACCTATGAGGGTATTGATTTTGCCATGGTATGATGTTAGTCATACTAATCCACCAAGTTATAGATTTTTCGATGCCATCTTGTGACCTAATTCTAGTTCAATAATGTAGGTCAGGTCAGGTTAGATAAAGGTTAATCATTCTATGTATGGTTATATCCCATGTGATAAGAGTACACTATGATCATTATGTAGGTTTGAAAGTGACATGTATTACAGTAATCGTGACCTGATAATTCCAGGGCAGGTGGACATTTATTTTAGTTTTACAGAATAATAATCTATTGTCCAGGGCTCCATGTGACTGTTTTGCACAATCATCTGCCATTGTTTCTTGTATTATAGATAGCCACTACATGAAATGTTACATGTGAAGTTTAATTTGCATAAGAGAGTCATACTTACAGTCAAATGGTTTCTGTTGACAAGTTGGTGCATTCTTAGATTAATTATGGCTGTAAAAGTGCAACATGGTATTATGCTAGTGTTTTATGTATGAGGTGACAAAATGGCTGTGATAGCTTGATTTGAGAAAAATAAACCATGAGTAACAATGGAACATCAGTCAAATTTTATTGTAGTGCTCTTTTAATTTTTGAAAAAAATTCTATTTGAATATTTACACATTTCAGAACACGGTTGAATTCAATTTTTTTATTAACATAGTGTTTTCTAAGTTGGAATTTCTAATGAAAATTTCGAAATCGCAACCAAGGTTATTCACATGTTAGTGACTCATTTGTATAATATCAAGGTAATTTATTCTAGGGCAGTTGGATATTAATTGAACTAAGTCAGTACTAATATAAGACACTATATCTTTGTCAAGATTCTAATTACAATAGAAAACTTGAAACACTGGTCATTCTTTGTCTTATTTTAATTAAGCTTGTTGACCAGAAAAATGACATGATTTCTTCACAATTGGGTCAATCTGGTTTGAAATTAAGAGTGATTTCCTCGTGTTTGTTAAATCGACAAATAACACGATTCCCTTAATGATCAGATCAATCTATTCTCAATATAGCTTCCTCCCTCTTGTTCAGAACTCGAGTTGATGAAATCAGGTGGTCTTCAGAAAGTGTAGGCTGTAAGCACATTTATTGTAAGAAACTTTGGCCGCAAATGATTAAACCAATGATACTGTCTTTTAAAAGCTTAAGTTTTGTGTATTTTGATAGCAGTAAGCCAATTTTTCCATATCTCGGCTGACAAATGTAGACATCAACTCTAATTTAATGGAATTTCAAATAATTTTCAGTAGGGCCCATTAGCCTAATAGACATACCAATCAAAAAAGTGCCAAAGTGTCAAGAAAACCCAAGGAATTGGGTCTCAATGTTCTGTCTGTCCACCAAAAAAGGTTGACTTTCTGGCTTCTTTAACTAAAATCATTTGAGAGTAAATTAACTATGGTTTCTGTAATTTATGATGGTCATTTTTTACAAATCAAACATTTCTGATTATCAAAAGAGTCTTCTTTTAAAGATATTCAACTTTTTGTTCTTAATTGTCACCCAAGGGAGATCTTCAATTCCAAATGCAGTTTAAAGAAGCGCAGACCCGTAACCAGTCTCATTCTGTAACCAGTCTCATAATATAACTAGTCTCATCCTTTCATACATCTTTCCACAAAACTGTCTCCTCACTCCATGATAACATCTGATATTTTGGTAGCTCCTCTGCTCTGGATGTGCATAATTATTGTTGACCTACTATATTCACCTCATTGTTCTAGTTCTGTGTGTGAAAATTGATTTGTATTATAATTAGTCTGATAGCTGAATCTTTGACTCTTCTCAGTTCATTTAATAGGTTAACACTTTAACCAGACTAACACCACAATGGATACATCACACCCAAATTATAAATGAACACATCACAGGTGCTTAGTTATTATTATTCTTAACAGGGTTGAGCTGTTATTCTGATACTGCATAGAATTCTAATACCACCTGTAAACCATGTTAGCTCTATCTAGCGTAGCTTTGGCTTTTTGAAATTTTCAGACACATTTCCATGATTTAATTGACAAGCCATAGAGAATACATAATCATACCTTTAAACTTGAAAGATGCAGATGTTGATTTCCACACTGTTTCAGCTCTAATCCATGCTAATCTTAAGATTATCCTAGTCTGCTTAAACCGCTTACCATGATCTTGTGGTGAATTAAAGTACATGACTGATTGATTTTGTGGTAATTGACAGATGATGGCTCCAGTTTAATCTTCGTGTCAGGGCTGGAATCAATCTGGGACATTAGTGTTACCAGTTTTCTTACTTCTTTAACTTACCATCAGAACAAAAAGCTGATTACAATGATACTTCAAACCGTGTAGGTGTATATAACCTTGGCTGGTATGTTAAGACTTTGGTAAGAATGACCTTGTATATATCACATCATGGTACAGCCAAATTGATACATTATATCATGTGTAATTTTCAGACATGCAATCTTCCTCATTTGCCCCATCAGCAGCAGAAAAGAAGGACATAAAACACTATTTCATTTTGCTGGCATATTTCCCCTTGTCCTTTGGTGAAAGCAGAAATCCCCACATTGAACCAGTCACAATATGGGATCAATTGTAGCTTGTAATAATGTCAGAGAGTATTGGTAGGGATATTGGTGTGTATACATCACTCTAAATGACTTGTCATCCGATGTCTTTCAGAGAGAGTAATAACTCCCACATCTTTGATTAGAACCTCTACTACTTAAACATCAGATAATTGAAGAGTGAGAAATCCACTACTTCATGTCACTATTATTGCAATATACAAGAGATTGTTCATGTCAGCAAACATACTGCAGTTGTTTAAGTTTAAAACATCTTTAATTTTCCTGTCAAGCTTCATTGAATATTCCATGATGATTTCCATTCAAATATCTTGGCATGATAACACTACATGATTTCGCATTATGACTGTAACTCATAAACCAAGAATTCATGACATTGTTGGACTTTTTAATATCTTGCAGTTGAGTGATCAGAATTGGTGAAATTTTTTTACTTGAATGAACATGACCATTTGTATGGTTATCATCATGGAATATTCAATGAAGTTTGACAGGAAAATTAAAGATGTTTAAAACTCATATTATATCCCTTTGTTCCTTACAAAGCAAATAAAAAATGGCATATAGTTAAAAGAGAGTGTTCTCTAACAAAAAAGTGTAGAAAAGGTCCATAAAGAATCAAACTTTAGGGCCCTTCACAAGCGCAGACATTTTTTTTATCTGTGTCTGGTATAGAGTCAAGCTATGTCTGGCAATCCATGTCCCAGTCAGATTTTCAGTGGTCAGATGTTCTGAGATCCATTGACATTTGTAAATATTATAGCATGCTGTACCAGATTCTGATCTCGCAGCTCAATATTAAATAGATGTGAAAATGATGTCATGAATAACAAAATTACACAACACTATTGTGGCATCGAGAGATGGTGGCAATTTTTGTCAACCTCCAACAGTATGCTTCATTGTTAATGATAAACAAGATACAAAGCTTGCATTTATTAACATAATAAAACCAGATAGAAGTAAGTGGACTAATCACATTGTAAGGCAGTTTCCAATGTTTGTGTCCAACAAAATGATACAAGTCAACTAATATTCCTTGTGGTCAATTATGTGGTTACATCATAAATCTGGTGTAGCTGGCAGAGGCATCAGAGAAAAGTAACCTGACTTGGTGTCCAATGACATTTGAACATCTGAAAACAAGTAAAGCAATATAAAAGGTGATTTGTTGTTTTCCAACTTAAAGATTAGTTAATTATTTATGAAATTTGTTTATAGTAATTTATGACCATGTATATATCCCTCTTATTTATTTATGATGGTCAGTGTTGTCAATAACAACAAGTTAATTCGGCCACTAACCAGTGGTCACTTGTCATGCTTAATTTATGACCTGTGACCTTATGACCCCTACAGAGTTTAAGGTCAAGAGATTAGGAAATCTTGTATAACAATGAGAAATCACCTGCTGTTGGGTCTGTGATCAAAACAAAAACAACCTGCTTGATTGAGTTTCTAGAAGAATCAAACCCTAGGCTCTAGCCACCCCCTACCATTTTGTTTTCTGTTTTCAGATGTGTTGTTGTTATTGCAGTTTAGCATTTAGAAAAACAAAAATATTTCAAATTTTTTATTTCACAATAATGATGTTTTGTTTTAATACCTGCTGATTTTGACTGTTTTTTTTTTGTTAAATCTGTAAACTCAATTTAGATCTTAATGGATATAGGGATTTTTTGTCTATTTATTTTTTTTTTTTTTTTTTAGTAGAAATTATCAAAAGTCTTCCTCAAGGACAACAGAAAATATTCTCGAATTTTCAGTAACATATAGAAATTATTATATTCTGTAAAAAAAAGAAACATCAAGGTTAGCCTATGAAAATATAGAGCAACATTTGTTATTTTTTCACTGAGTACAAAACTATTTTCATGTGATTATTTTGAGATAAAGTATTCTACTTTCAAAGACATGTTAACTAATAATATGAAAACAATGCTAAAATCCTAACTTCCTGACTAGTCCTTGGGCCTTACTCTCAAACAGTTAAGTAAGATGAAATCAAGATTTTCAGAAGTTAAGTAATCTTACAGGATTTTAAAACTATCTTTAAAATCTAGTTTAATGATTGACTAATGACTAAAACACTAAGTTTGTGAGAATAACTATGGATGACTATTCCTCGTTTCATTCAATTATGGTGAGTGGTGACAAGTCAAACTCATTCTTCATGGGTCCAGCTATGGAAGGGTTTATTGAACTACTATGGTGACTATAGCTTGTTATATTTTTAACATGGGTTGATGGTGTGTTATCCTGCAGACAAACCCGGAAGTAATTTATTTTCTAAATTGTTATTGATTAACTACAGATTATTGATTGGAAATGTTTATTTTCTTCAATCAATGATTCAACGTTGGGAATTATTTTAATCACAAGCTTACAGATAAAATCAATTAAAACATTTCCATCATTATTGACTTAACCTAGGTTGTTGTCCTCAAGTTTACATAGCAAGATGAATTCCAATTAGAAGAAATGTCAGTTTGATTTTTGTTACCAAATATTATCTGAAATAAAACAATAAAATATTTAAATAGTTATAAAGCTGATGTTGGTATAATGAATGATCTCAACCTATAATGCTTGTGTCAGAATATTCTGTACATTATTAGGTTAATGAGATGAAATGAAGTATTAGATTACACTTTTTAATTAAAATTAAAAATTCATCTAACTAAGCCAATGAAATGCCATTAAAAGTATTATATTTTATGTGTCTTGAGGTTGACATCCTAGAGTTTATTAGACACAAAGAAGAAGGATTCACGTCCAGCTAAAAAACAT